AAACGCCGCCCAACGGTTTTCGAAGGGAACCGTGACGTCGCATATGACGACGCTCTTCGAGGGCTCGTGCCTGACCACAAGGTCAGGTCGTAGCGCCCCGAGTTCCCCCTCGAGACCCCTGACCCGCTGGTTAACCGTGATCGACCCCGGCAGACGACAGGCCTTCCTGAGTCGCAGCAGGATCGAGTCGTGACGCCACTGGACGGCAGCAGAATGTGGTCCACAGTGACAAAGCACGTGGGGAAGGGTCTCAGCCACTTCTCCGCATCGCCGGCAACGCCTGTCACCCTCCCCCCATCTGCGCGCCCCATTTAAGGGGAGCACGTCAAGGCGGGCTCGGTGTACGAAGCGCCAATCAGCAAAGCGGGTGAAGCTGCCGCCACGCATGAAGTGATTGCTCACTCGTGCGCGCGACGAGACCTCGAACACCTTACCCTGATCCGGTTTTGTGATCCATGTGTATGTGTACCATTCTGCCACCGCCGCTCGCAGGCGCCCGATCACCTGGGCACGAGCCCCAGGTGGGATCTTAGTGACCCTGCCGCGTGGCCCGCGGCATTGGAGGACGAACTCCTCACGCTCCTCGCACCACAGCCACCGAATGGCCAAGCGTTCGGATTGTCTCCGCGCAGCATTCCGTGCGCTCGACCAGAGCGAGGATTCCCCGCCCACCCTTAGCCTCCCCTCGAGCGAGCCCGAGAGGAAGGCGGCGACGTCACCGCACGTCGGGTGGGTGCCAATCCGGCGGCGAACCACTGCCCGCAGCGACGCCCAGGCCAGGTCCCTGACCGCCCGGTCGTCCGCCGTCAAAAGACGGAAGACGTGAGCGATCGTGAGGACGTCGGCGAGGTCAGCGAGCGGAAGCAGTCCACATCCCCCCCTGCTGGGAGGGAGGTAGACCACCTCCGCGCTGGCGCGCTGAGGGAGGTTCAGCCAGCCTTTGACTAACCTGCGGATTTGCAGGTCCAAGGCTATTAGGGGACGTTTCTCAACCCTGGCCCCCCGAAGCAAGAAGTCGAGCCGCGGCAACAGGAAAGTCGCCACGGCCTCCGACTTCTGCCACGGGGCAAGGAGCGACCGGTCAATCGCGCGGAGGTCCTCGCCCAAGGCCAACATAGCGGCGTTCGACGTCTGGTTGACGGAGAAGCCCGTCGGAATGCCGAGGTGCTCATAGGCCTCGCCTTCCGCCAGGGACTTCACAGTCCGGCCCTGGATGACGAAGG